GGTTTCAACAAAAAACTATGGTATAATTTACGATACACCGCAAAACTATCCAAGTCTTGTCAAGTTTTCAAAAAGAAGGGGGGGTTACCCCAGGGGACTTTCCCTCAATTTTATTTGATTTGTTTTATTGTCCCATTCAAGAATATATATGGTTTAGAGGTGGGGATCTCGACCATTTACAAGTTATCAAAAAGAAGGGGGTGGGGGTAACCCCGTAGGACTTTCCCTATATTTCATTTGATTTGTTTTATTGTCCCATACAAGAATATATATGGATTAGGGGTGGGGATCTCGACCGTTTACAAGTTCTCAAACAGGAGGGGCGGGGTGACCCCAGGGGACTCGCCTTTTATTTCATTTGATTTGTTTTATTGTCCCATACAAGAATATATATGGTTTTGCGGTGGGATCTTTACTGTTTACAAGTTTTCAAAAAAAAAAAGGGGGGTGGGGGTGACCCCCCTGGACTTCCCCTATAATTCATTTGATTTGTTTTATTGTCCCATACAAGAATATATATGGTTTAGGGGTAAGGATCTCGACCGTTTACAAGTTCTCAAACAGGAGGGGGTTGGGGGTGACCCCAGGGGACTCGCATTTTATTTCATTTGATTTGTTTTATTGTCCCATACAAGAATATATATGGTTTTGCGGTGGGATCTTTACTGTTTACAAGTTTTCAAAAAAAAGGGGGGTGGGGGTGACCCCCCTGGACTTCCCCTATAATTCATTTGATTTGTTTTATTGTCCCATACAAGAATATATATGGTTTAGGGGTAAGGATCTCGACCGTTTACAAGTTCTCAAACAGGAGGGGGTTGAGGGTGACCCCAGGGGACTCGCCTTATATTTCATTTGATTTGTTTTATTGTCCCATACAAGAATATATATGGTTTCGGGGTGGGGATCTTGACCGTTTACAAGTTTTCAAAAAAAGGGGGATGGGGGTTACCCCAGGGGACTTCCCCCCAATTTCATTTGATTTGTTTTATTGTCCCATACAAGAATATATATGGTTTAGGGGTGGGGATCTCGACCGTTTACAAGATAAAAGCACATTCTCAAATTGAAGGGGGGTGGGGGTAAGAATATATATGGTTTAGGGAGACTTAATTATCTACAAAATGTCTAATAATGAACAGTAAATTTCAAACTTCATTTATACAGTCCTACTAGTAAATTTCAAACTTTATATATACAGTCCTACAGATCTTATCAGGAATTTATAGCTTATAATCATCACCACTTAAGAAATAGATAATTTTCAAATAAATCTGTCACTCCAATTTTTATTGTGAGATAAGACAAGTCATAAAATAATAACAAGAGTAATATATTTAAAAATTCTACTTTTGGATATTAAAAATGGCGATAACAAAGGAGATATACTGAAATCTTGCAAATTGAACTAGACCTTCATTAAGTCCCAGGAAACAACATATTTAAATTTGAAAAAAAATTTGTTAAAGCGTTTTCGTGTTATTGTGCTGACACTGTTTGGCAGCCGCCCGTAGATCCGCCCAGCCGCCCGCCGTTCATCACCATTTTAATAACCGATATTTCCTTCGAAAATCCGGTTAAAAATCTAACTCAGGGTCTTAATTGTCCTCATTAACCCCAAATAAATCTAATAAATTAAACATATTATAATGATAATCCTTACCTTGAGACAACATGTGAGATGTGTCAAAAAGTTTGAAATTTTCTTTGTTTGTCCAGATATAACAGCAGTACAACTTAAAAATGTTCATTTAAAACCATACTCACAATTTGAGAATCGTTTTCATTGTAATCAGAATGTAATCAAAATGTAATCAGGATTACAAGGTATTTTGAAAAGTAATTGATTAAATTAAATTACATGTAATCAGATTTTTGGCTGATTAATGATTACAATGATTACTTGAAAATTGTAATCAATTACAGCTGATTAATGATTACAATTACAATTACCTCAAGTCTGTCTGAGAGCGAATTTTCGTATATCTAAAATATAGAACAACGGAGTTGGTGTACGTGGGTTCGATTCCCACACTAGGCATTCATTTATATCGGCTGGTGCAAAGCGGGCAGTTTAGCTTAGTGGCCCCGCACTGAATCTTGTTCCTGTGTAAAAATTCAAGAGGCCACGGTAAGGTCTACGGCTATCGTTCTTTTTCTTTTCGTAGACCATATACAACAAAACCATGGTATAATTGTGAACATTATACCATAGATAGCTATGGTATAATTTTCGGTTATTGAGATTTATACTCGGGTTGCATTCCCATATGTTCCATTGTACAGCTATAGGTTAAGTAATAGTTATACACCGAGAGAAAGGTGTGTCTGGATAAAAAACCCTGACGGCCGGAGGGGTTTTATATCTAGACACGCCGTATCCCGATGCTAAAGCCTATATTTTTAACATTGATTATTAAATGAAAAAGAACAGATAGAATATTTATTGACAATATCAAACCATGATTTATAAGACTTTTTCTCCTTTTTTTTTTACATGAAACCCCACTACTAAACTTACTTTGGCTATCTTCGTTCAAGCTATGGGACAAGTGAGTAGATTTTATAAATGTCAAAGTTGCTGATTTGCATATTCCCGTTAAGTCCATATGCTAATATGGATCACCAGGTCAAGGTTGAATGTTTCGTGCATTTTTATTACAAAAAAAAAAAAAATACACCATGCTCCTCGTATGCAATTGTCAATATTTATGGGTATAAGACGGATGACATTTTCAGTCAAGCGTTGATTTGGTAGAAGAGACTAAAGATAAATGCAATATAAGACCCAAAGTACTTACCTGTATCCGTTTAATGAAGGTAATCATAAATGTATTTTATATGTTAAAAAAAGCCCCCCCCCCCCCCTCCTCAAGAATAAACAAACATTCATATTCGGACATACTGAGGGAGCGAGTTAGAATCCATGTTTTTTTTGGATCAATGCTTTTCAATAGAGACATATGACTGGGTTCACAAATTTTACCTTCAAGCAAAGCAGTATGTAAAGGTTTTTTTTTAATCAAAATAAATGCTTTATATTTTTCGCTATTGGAATTTCCTAAAATGTGTTTTTTTTTTAAATCTTGAAACAACCTGAAGTGAACACTATTAGTAATTTCTTATGTTCATGCTACTTAAAGAATAATACATTTCTATTGTTATGACATTGTTTTCGGGATGTAGAAGCAGGGGTTTCCAGAAACCCCGCTCGTCACTCCTTGTAGTCAAAATCCATTGTTATTCGTAACAATGGATCTATTCAATTTACACTTGTTTTAGAAATAGAAACTATGAAGTATAACAATATAACTGGGATGTAAATTTATAGTACCTTCGTCGATGAATGAAAACGAGAACTGAAATCACGACAATAAGAGCAATGATTGATGTTACAATTCCAGCTGCTATGCCTGCAAAATATAATAGACATATATACATGTATCTCAATATAGAACCTGTTTGATACAAAACCTACTATAAAATTCCCTGTTAAATTTCGTTGGAATATTCGATTTCTTAAATTCTTCGAAGGGCTACACGATTAAAACAATTACAACGCTGTTAATTTTTGATAACTTTTTTTCGTTTTTAGTATCATATAGGACCTCTGTATCTGGAATATCAATTCCACATCCCGTTTTCAAATATACAATAACACATCAAAAGATAACATGAATTAGCAATACTATTGGAAAGTACAACACTACACTAACAACAAGACCCCCCATTCCTCCAAGTTGTTGAGTAAACGTTTTACAATTCAACTGAGAAAGAAACTTTTTACTTTAAATAATAGTAAATATATAGCGGTTCCTTAGTTACACAATTTAACATATCATTATCTTAAATCAATATTTTAAAAGACTTATTAATAAAGGTTATAGTAATAATAATGTTGTTCAATTACTGTTACACAGTGTATACTTTTCGTGATAAATGTCATTTTTGAAGTGAGAAATGTAAACTTCAAACTGAAAAATGTCAAGTGAAAGTTTTACGGATACTACTAATAAAATGTCCCTACCAGTCTTTCGTAGTCAAAGCTGTCAAACTTACTTCCCGAATCGTCAGACTGAACTTTTTGCTGTTTCGGTATCGACTTCATGTCTCCTTTATCCTCATCTGTCCCTATAATGCATTTTAAGATATATATAATATTGCATGTTAATAATAATAATAATAATAATAATAAGAATAATAATAATAATACTACTACTACTACTTCTACTGCTGTTACTAATGATAATAATACATTTGCAGTCTTTATCATTTGTAACTTGATTTTACATGAATCATATTATTAATGGATACTGAGAGAAATCACTGGCTGTAAATATACTACTAAGTCAACAACGATGTCATGTTTTCAGATTTTGAAATGTTGGTTGGAGAATCTCTTATTTTCGAAAGCAATACGGTGGCACTAATGGAATGATAAGGAAGGGATAGGTGTTTTATGAACAAGGCAAATAATTAAATGTTTGTATTCTACTTTATGTATTTGGAATATTGTCGCATGCACATTTATCCCTAATCCTTTACTCTTAAACATCCTTAGTTACCGTTAAGATGGTCTTATCAAACATTTATTGATACAGGATTGCTGCCTTCAAAGTTGCTTTTTAACCAATGGTTCCAAACGGTAAAGATAATGTCATCATTTGCAAGACACCATCTTTATTTGGTTGACCTTTATGAAGGTCGTATATAGCTTCAATTGGAATTCCTCCGAATACAACTAATTACAGATTTTTTTTGTCATAGGCAACACAACATAACTGTCTTTCTTTGTTGAGTTTTATGTTGTTAAATCTTTAGTTGTCCGTGTAATGTTTTGATTGCTTGCTTTTTTCAGATTTTTTTGGGTATAGCCTGTTTTTTCCGACTACTGGATTTGATGTATTTGATGGATCTTGGTATCTTCTCTCCTTCTCTCTCTAGAACTCGTTGCATGCAATGTTGTAATCCTCATCTGATTTTTATCATTTTTAACTTACCGAATCTACAGAAAAACGAAAATTTGTAATTGCAGTTATCCACCTTTTTCTGTTCGTGGTCATTGTCCAATTTAAAACATGTTTGAAGTTGTAAGTGTTCTGTGGAGTCTGTAACAAGACAACGTTGAATAAACTAACTCAAAGGAATGTCAAATGTTATCACAATACTTGAAATAATCAGTTAAACTTGGAAAAATTGGAAAATTATTTAGCAATAACCGCACCATCCTAGTGAAAATACAAGCATGGCATTCTACAATTCATGTTAGAACCGATATTTACATTAACATATTGTAACATTCAGAAAGACCAAACTGATTCATTCGAAATTAATAGAGATAAATACTCGTACAAATATTGACAATGGGATCCTTTTGAAATGTTGTTACCTGGTCGTCTCTCTTTTCGATTCGCAAATATATTGATGATACCGCGAATGTTTATGGTTGCTTTTTGTTTACTTGTAAATATATGCATGCTGTACATCACAGTTGTAGTATTTTACAAAATATAGCAGACATTCAATTTACATTAATTTATAGTAACTCTTAAATCTTGTCTAGTGCTTAGACAATTGCAGGATAGTCGTTAATAAGAAAACATCAACATCAAGAAAACTAAAACCTACAAACTAACCAACAAACCAAAACAATCAAACAACATGAGACCCGCACCAACAACACCAACAATAAATTCAAAACCAAATCAACCCCACTCCTAAAACCAATAAAACATAAACTAATAAACAAATCACAGCCAGCGAACAATATGAATGCACACTTTATGTGTTATCATCACAAACTATATCACATCCAATGCACATATATCTAGCTGTCAAAATCAGTAATATGTCAAGATCGGTACCTTAACTGCCGTATAATTAATAATGTCAAGTCATAATACACAGAAGATATAAATTGCATATTGTATGATGGTGCACAAGGAGTTTACTTTTGAAATTTCCTTTTAATGTCAAATTGATTATAACCTAAATGCAGTGGTGTCCGCAGATTCGCTTCTATATCGAACGTTGGCCTAATGTTTTTTTTACCAAATTTACCTTATAATCAATTCTGAGCAAGGAGACAAATTTTGAACAGTTAAAAGTATAACTTTTTTTTTCTTTTTTTTTTTTCAACAACAGTATTGCACACGCTGTTAACCATTACTCCACTGACACAGCTATCTCAGTGAAGGTCCCTGTTTCATCAGCACCAGAAGTTCAGGGACTCCCCAGGCAGATAAACTGCATATTATGTAAGTCGTTTAACAAATAATAATATAACATCAATAGATAAATAATGCTATTATATTTTAATAAAGTATTTATATCATCTGGCGTTATTTTCGGAATTTCATAGTTCATCCGAGTTTGGGATGATTTATAACTTATTTCCAGTTTCCATGTGTTTCCGGATAACGGTTTATTTTAATCAATATCGAAAAAGATTGTAAATAGCTTTTTCTACATCATTATTCAGGTAAGACAGTTATGATTTGAAAGATTAATAGTCATACGGTAAACGAAAAACAATTGTGCTGTGTTTTTTTTGTAATGTATTTACATCGTACCAGATTATATAAATATTGCAATGTCTATCATGCATCATAATTATATAAATACAAAATTAGATAATAAATTAATTAAAACACAGAGATAACATTACTAACAATGTTATCAGTTCATACAATTCAAATACACCTAAATATTTTTTCTAATATACCTTTTCTTTCATGGTTAACAAATTTGTTTTGTAGAATGAGCCTATTTCTAAGCTCAGTTTTAAAGACGGAAAATACATTAATATTCTTTGTTCTAAACTCTGACAGATAGTGTGTTTTGTGAATTGAAAACATATCACTGTAAGAAAAACATTAATATCAAAGTATTCTATATCACTTATTTTGTAACCCCAAATCAAATTTTTTAGTGTTAAAATGTGTTTTCCAAGTTTAACTTTTTCTAACAGATTAAATATTTCTTTCCAAAATTTATCAAGAAAGTGGCATGTAATAAAAAAGTGTTCATAATTTTCTGTTATATTACAGTGATTACAGTCTGAGTTTGGGCATATTTTCCATTGTTTTAATAAAACTTTGTTTGGAAGAATAAAATGTAAGAGTTTCCATCTGAACATTTTTAATTTATTTTCTTTCAAATAATTATGATCAAATTTTAGTATATTTTGAGCTTTATTTTCTATGTTCTCAAAATTTAGTAGTCTCTTCCATTTGTAAAAGCCAATTGGTATTAGTTTATCTTGTTCTAATAATATTTTGTAAATTTTACTTGTTTCTAATTTATTTATATTTTGTTTAAAGTTATCTTTGTCATAAATATACAAAACATTATCTGTTAGTACATTAGTTGTTTTTGAACAGTTTTCAGCTAATATATTAACCCATTCTTTTGGTATAGCTTTTTTTAATTTTAAAAATTCAGTAATCCAGTTTGTCTTTTTATTAAGCTTTTGTCTAATAAATCTTTATGTTATATTTCCAGATTCATCAATGATATCATTTATGTATATTATGTTGCTATCTATCCAGTTTTGGAATAGTAATGTTTTTTCCTGAAATTTTATCCACTGATTTCCCCAAATAACTTGTTGGCGGATTAGTCTGTAGTTTTTTTGGTATTTATTATTTTTATTATTATTTTTATTCTTAATCCAAACTTTGATTATATCAAGATAAAACTCTGGTAGTTTTTTCATATCTGGTATTGAATTTACACTATCCAGATTCATTTGCAATATAAGAAGATTGTTTCCGAATTTGTTTAAAAAAAATTTTGGTATTACAGTCCAGTTTAAAAATTGCTCTGCATTTAATCTTTTAATCCAACCTATTTTTATTGTTTCTATGTATTTCTCTAAATTGATCATTTTTAATCCCCCATTTAATTTGTCATAACTTAGTACAGAACGTTTAACCTTTTCTGTTTTTTATATATCATTTTTTTAAACTGGTTTAAATACTTTTTATCTATGGTCGAGACAGATGCTAAAAATGTAATATTAGGAATAATTAATGATTTAGTAACTGTGATCTTTCCTATCATGGTTAAGTTTCGCTTTTTCCAATTAAGAATAATTTTTGCTGCTTTTTCTAAAAGTTTTTCAGCATTTAATCTTTGACACTCTTTTTTATTATGACCAAAATATATACATAGGCTTTTTACAGGTATATTTGTCCAGTTAATATTTTCATGTTTATCTTTGCAGTTTTTTGTTTCCCAAGCCAAACACCCTCAGTTTTAGCTCTGTTTAATTTCAACCCTGACAATGTTCCAAATGTTTCAATCATATTAAGAGCTTTTGAAATATCTTGTGTTGTTCTAAGTAAAAGAGTTGTATCATCTGCTAGTTGACTAATCTTTAATGTGTGCGTTTTGCCATCAAGTTTAATTTCAAAGCCTTTGAGGTCGTGGTCTTGTCTGATCCTACATGCTAAAATTTCAACAGCAATTACAAAAATTATCGCACTGCATGGGCACCCTTGCCTAATCCCACGAAAAATGCTTATAGGTTTTGAAATCCAACCATTGTTTATAACTGAGCTTTTAATATCAGTATATACAACTTTAATCCATTTCAACATTGAACTTTTGAATCCAAATGTTTGTAAAGCTAAAAATATGAAATCCCATTCTAAAGAATCAAAAGCTCCAATTTTTTGTGAATTAGTTAACTCCCCTTTTTCAAATGAGAAATTGAATGTATTAACAGCAAATTCTTTCAAATCTTCCCAGAATATCTTGTAAAACTCTACACTTAATCCATCAATACCTGGGGCTTTATTAAGTTTCATTTTAAATAGAGATTCTGTGCATTCCTGGATACTTAATAGACCTTCCATACTTTCACTTTCTTTATTGGTTAATTTATGATCAATTTCTGTATTCATAATGTAATCTTTGATATAAGTTTTGTTAGGGTTTGAACTTTTGTATATATCTTGATAAAATTCTCTTTCAAGTTGCAATATTTTTGTAGGATCTCTGTGTATTTCCCCATTTTTATCTTTAAGGGCTGTTTTTGTTTTTTTTGTTTGCCTAGCTTTTTCTAATCCTAAAAATAACTTTGTATTTTTTTCCCCTTCTTCCACCCATTTAATTCTTGATCTAATTTGTGCCCCTTTAGTTTTCGATTCATATAAATTACTAAGTTTATTTTCTTATCTATTGATTTCTTCATTAAAATAGATAATAACATCTTCTTGGCATTTCATACTTATACATTCATTTATTTTTTTAAGTTTATTTTCTAAAATGTTTATATCTTTTACATTGTTTTGTGCTTTCCTTTTACAGAATGCTATAGTATAATCTCGCACCTCTGTTTTAAAAAGATCCCATTGAAGCCCAATATCATTGGTAAGTAATACTTTACATTCATACTGTTTTATAAGTTTCTTAATTATGTTTTGATACTCATTATTTTCTAAAACACTATTATTTATTTTAAAATATCCTTTTCCTTTTTGTTGTGATCTACATTTTATCATAAGAGATATTGCTTGATGATCTGTATGGGTTATAATGGCTGGTCTTATGTCTGTTGATTCTATTTGAGTTCGTATTTCAGGACAGGTTAAAAAGAAATCAATTCTTGATGCTTCATTGATGTTATTTTTCCTTCTCCAAGTAAATTATATTTTTTTGCCATGTATTTCTCGCCATATATCACTTAACTTATGCATTTTTATTAAAGATTTTAAACTGGGTACAGCTTTTTTTTCTTTAAAGGATTTTTTTGACATATTGTGTTTGTTGTCTATATTAGTTAAGGTGTCATTCATGTCTCCACCTATAATGACCATTCCTAAGCTATTTTTAGTTATAACATCTTTAACTTTTTTAAAGAAGACATTTCTTTTTTGGGGTATATTTGGTGCATAATTATTTACCAAAGTATATATACTGTCTTCAATTTCAATGTTTAAAAGGATTAACCTGCCTTCCTCATCTTGAAATTTATCTATAAATTTACAATCTATCTCATTATTTATGAAGATTGAGACTCCTTTTGATTGTGAAGTCCCAAAGCTGTGATATTGTTGACCTTTAAATTCATATTCTAAATTTATTTTTAATTTGTCTGTAAAATGACTTTCCTGTAACAACAAGATGTTACATTTTTGATATTTCATCCACATATATAATCTTTGTCTTTTCTCTTTTGCACCAAGACCCTGACAATTTAAAGAACAAATATGTATTTTTTTTGGTCATAATTTTCTTATTTAAATTGATATGTGTTTATATACTGGCATGTTAACATATTCAAGCTAATAAATTCCTGTATGACAATACAGATGCATATTTTAAATAAACTTAAATCTATGTAAAATATTTGTGCTATACATATTTTAGAACATGAATTAATACCTTCTATAAATGAACAATATCTTTTGTGTAAACATGTACTAAATTCTACAAGTAATATTAAACAATACAAAATTGTCTGCTTATATTCTTTTTGGTATGATATGTTCATTTAATTGTTTTGATTAATGATGCACTTTAATGATACATTTTTTGAAAACATAATTTCTTGGTTCAATAGATAGCACGTCTTATTTTCTATTTTTAGCTGCATAACGACCTTGACACTGATATAGGCATGGCATGAATAAAAATAGTGATCGAATTTCGTGGAACCGTACTGCTTGTCGCTGAGTCTATAGACCATGACATAAGTGAATTAATTTGAAAGAAACTGGATGTTTTATGTGAATAGTGAAAGATAATAATATCACCTGGAATATACTTTGCAATCGTCGAGATTATTCTATTTTTAGATTTGGAATGTACTTGAAACAAATTAGTCATCAACGGAAATTCCCTTTGTGTAGCTGATAAGTAAGACACAGTTATTGACAAATGGACATCTTTGATTAAACAATATAAAGAGAATGTCCTATGCATATTCAAGCATTTGAGCATGTAATGCTCTATAAATAGATTGTATGATATCAGAACTGTGTGTCTGATGTAGATGACAATAAATAATAGATATGAATATACTGTTTTGGACTTGTATATAAATTTATATTTACATTTCTCAATTCTAATATCTTGAATTATGTCAAATAAATAATATGTATTGTACTTATTGTTATAATTAATACATGACTCAATGTGAGGTGATTCAAGTAAAAATTCATTCTTTTTGTATCTTTTGTTACATTTAAAGGGATATTGTCTGTCAGTTTATCAAAAAAAAATGATTGGTCATAAATGCTGTGAAATCAGGAGTTATAATTATATTGAACTTAAATTATTTCAAAGTTTTGCCAATTATTCTGTATTTCGAGGTCTAAATATGTGTAACGATGTAAAATTGAATTCTTGTCAAGGATGACAAAAATTCGATTTAATCCCGCCTTATTCATATGAACTCCAGCTTGAACTCTATCGGAAATGGTTCCGCGCATGCTCGTCCCGGTTAACAAAAACAAAAATGTCGGAAAATAGCAAATCTAACCGTGGAAGAAAGCGATCTTTAACGGATTCTGCAAGAAAGAGGAATAGAACAGCTGTATCATCTAGATGGAACAAAAGTAGAATTTACATAGGTGATCAGTTTGAACGCTGGAATGAATTGAAGGATGTATTGCGTGTGCAAACGCATGCCGAAGTGGCGAGAATTTTGATGGACAAGTAAGTTGTATCCACATGTTTCAAAATACTTATTTTGGCATTTCTCGGGATTATTTTTTGTACACTATTGATGGAATTCAGAGGAACTAACAACAGTTCAACCATTTCAAGACACACGTTGTTCAAAAGAGAACTAGATCGACTAGAAAGTCCGATTTACAATTCACATAAATATAGTAAATTTAAGAGGCCCTAAACGGGGAAATTATAATAAAAATATGATAAATGCAACAGAAAGACAACAACCCCAGATAAATTCAGTTTTTATTTAGCATACATTTCTTTGGCGTGATTAAGGTATGCAATAATACCTTCAGGGTTGAATTTCCTCTAGCATGTCTAGGAAGTACTTGTACAAAATGTAGGACACACTTGTATATTTGTCAACTGGCACTGCACTATACTGACTACTGTCTATACATGTAGTATAAATATGCTGACTGCATATACTTGCACAGCTAGTTATAAGTAAATTATAGTAATCTACACATTTTTGATAAAGTAAATTTAAAAACATTGGATGGACTCAATTTGAGGGCATTTGTCAGAAATTTCCTTTTTGGTTACTTCACTGGACACATGCAAGGTCTGACCAAATGTCTATTTAAAAAATCCTTGGTATGTGAGGTCCAGATTGTTCATGTGCTGCCCAAATACTAAGTGTAAATTAAAAAAAAAATACTTTCAGAAATAATATCAACTCATGTCAAGAAACTTTTTTCCTCCACAGTTATCATGCCAATAATACAGTTCAAGCAGTCAGTATAGAGCAACAGAACCCCCCAAATCTTGAAATGGAAAATGAAACTTTGCCTGTAGTTTCAATGCCTTCTGCATCAACCTCAACACCTGGACCAGTCCATTCTCTGTTTCACACCCCATGTGATGTTTCAGACATATCTTCAGCTGGAGAGAACAAAAGGTAATTTTGATGAAATTGTCACATCTTTGTTACATGTTTGTGTCAACAAATCATCTTCCATTTAAAAGAGAAAATAAAAATCCAAGAAACACGTAAGAAAATGATTTTAATAGAGAAAAATGTGGGTTGTATGTATATTATACAGGAAGCCAATGACAAACAAAACCAAATTACTAATAATGCAAAAACATAGAGTCGTTTCTTAAATGGAAAGGTGTTTGTTCACTATCACAAGGTCTTAGCTCCATAATTTGTCACTGGACAACAATTGATCAAATTTAGTTCCATTTCAAGCATTTGAACAGAATTTTTTGAAAACAAAAGGTAATCATTGTGTTATTTTTCAGAGAATCGGATATGTCTGGTATTGAGGAAATCTGTAGTGAAAAGAAAAAAACAATGGAAAAGTCTACTTCCTTCATCAATCCTTTTGAGTAAGTTATCTTGTTATGGGCCAACTGTTTGCCAGAAACTTGTATTCAATTAAGTTTAAGAAATCTGTAAAACATAGGTTTTAAATTTTTTGTTCTATTTTAAAATGTAAATGTAACATATATATATATATACAAATGTAACATTTATATACACTTTCACTTCATGTACTGCAAAAATAAAAATATGGCAGTATGTTGTGTCGCAACTTCGAGTCAAGACCTATAATACTTTTGTTTCATTTGAAATATTAAATAAATAAAAAATATAAAAATGACTGACTTTTTCAACCATACTTTTGTAATGAATTAATCTCTGGGAAAACCCATAAAAGCAAATGGTTAATGCCTCACGATAATTGTCTCATTGTGTAAAATTGAGTTCCTCATTATTATTTTTTTTTCAGCCTTACAATTGATGAGGATGAGGCATGCATGATGGACGAGGATTCGTCTGGTGAAGAATTTGAGCCAAGTTTTAATTTTACACTGAGGTAAAAATATGGCAAATGTAATATTTTTATGTCTCATTTATGGGCATTATGTTTTCTAGTCTATGCGTCCGTTCATCTGTATGTCTGTCAAATTTAATAGTTTTATGCCCCATTTATGGGCATTATGTTTTCTGGTCTGTGCGTTGGTCTGTCTGTCCCGCTTCAGGTTGAGGTTTTTTGGGTTTTTTTTTATGAAGTTGGTCTAATCAACTTGAAACTTAGTACACATGTTCCCTGTAATATATTCTGTCTAATTTTAATGACAAGAGTTTTTACCCCATTTTCACGGTCCCCTAAACAGAGAAAATGATAATGTGGATGGGGCATCCGTGTACTATGGACATATTCTTGTTATAATTAACATAAACATAAATATGAAAAAAAGAGTTTTTATTACTGTTATAATTTCAGCTGATCCTAAACTAGTTATGTAAATGATATTGTTTTGAAAAATTATAGGATTATGTCTGCCTGACATGGCTCATTTGACCTTGACTTCATTTTAAGAGATTATTGTGTATGTGATACTTGTAGTAAAACCTTCATGTTACCATGGTTACAGATTTCAGCTTACATTCAATCATGAAAAAAGAAGCATGCGAGAAATTTCAGTGTATATACTCTTGTTATTTTTATTGTAGTATCTTGTTTATAATTATGAACATTGCATTACAGACACAATAATGCAGATCATCTTCCGGTAGAGGATTCAGATGATGAGTCGGATGAATATGGTGATGACCCTGCAGATGCAACAGAGACCGATTTTGACATCAACCGCATAAAGAGCATTAATGATTTGGATTCCCTGACGAATGACCATCCTCTCATGGTCTACCAGCAACCCCTGTTAGATTTGGCCAACACACAGATCTGTTCACTTTGCAAAGTTTGCAATGCAAATATCAGTGTAGCTGTGGAGATTGTTGCTTCAGCGACATATCTTAAATGGGTAGGAAACACTGACTATTTATTTTAGAGACTAGTATGCAAACTCCAAAATTTTGAAGATATCGCCATACAATGTACATACTCACTGGAAGATAACATCTCATTTAGCAATTAATACAGCATGGAATATTCTGTCACCATTTCCATTTTGGTAAAGTTATTTCTCTGAATCAATGCTAATGTAATAGTATTTTTCAAAAGCAGCCTATTCCAGTTAATTGAATTTCATTCATAAGATTTTTGTAGAATGTAGAGAAACATCTGTCACACAGAACTATTCTGTCATTTTTTAATTATTTTTTTTTATAAATTTATACTAGTGTACAAGACTTTTTAATTGCTTATTCTGATATATCATGTACTATCTATAATATTGTAGGTCTGTGAAAGTGGTCATGTTGTCAATAGGTGGTGTTCACAGCCCCTTCTAAACAGAAGAATGCATGCCGGAGATTTAGTTTTTGCTTCTGCCATCCTGTTGTCCGGCAACAATTTCCAGAAAATAACAACTCTGGCTAAATTCATGAAACTTCCAATACTGAGCTCCTCAACCTTTCACAGAATTCAGAAGACTTACCTTGTCCCATCAATTGACCGATTTTGGATCCAGAAGCAGGAGGATACTTTAAGAGAATTTGAGAACACCGATGTAATTGTTTTAGGTAAGTATTTAAAACTCAAAATATTAATTTTAGGAAAGTATTTCAAACTCAAAATATTAATTTAAGGTAAGTATTTCAAACTCAAAATCTTATGTAAAGTATTTAAAATAGATACATGCGAGTAAAAAGAACATAATCATGTTACATTTTTTATATTTAATTTTTCACAGTAATATAAGAATTAACAGGAATTAAAATAAATTTGTTCTAAAAAGATATCTAGGTTTGCTCTAGTTTTCTCAGATTAAGTCATGTTCCATTTTTCTTAAAGTCCCAATATTTTAACTACCAGTGCAATATAAATCAGTGAACTAGAAAAATTAATTCTACACATTCTTCCTTCTTTTTTTAGGTGATGGACGTATGGACAGTCCAGGTCACTGTGCGCAGTACTGTTCGTACACGTTTATGGAGTACACCACCAAGAAGATATTATGCATCACAACAATGGATAAGAGAAGTACCGACCGGAAAAGCACCAACCTTGAGAAGGCTTGCTTCCTGAAAGGGATGAAATTTTTTAAAGATAAAGGCATAAAAGTTGTGGAGGTGGTGACAGATGCACATGTCCAAATAGCTTCAGTAATGAGTAAGAACATTATGATATTCTCAAGGCAGACATTTTGATAAACAAGTACTCAGATATTCAGACTTTATTGAGCCATAAAAACAAGTATCAAGTTTTATCCTTAACTTCATTACTGAGCAAAGATCCAGTGGTGTTGTAATTTAAAATTTAGAATTTTCATAGTTTGTGATATTAATACATTTTATAGGACTTATTTTTGATAACAGTAGAATTAATTATTTAATTATACTAATGATGTTCTATTTATGACAATCGCAAACCTTTTTATGTTTTAGAAAAAGAATTCCCTGAAATTAAGCATTCTTTTGATGTCTGGCATGGAACAAAGAACTTAGGAAAGAAACTCACAAAGGTAAAAGATGTGTGAAATGCAAACCATGACTCCATCTTCAAATTTAAGAATGATGTTATTGTGGCAATTTGGGATATATTTTATGAGGTGTGATTCTAAATTTCACTTCATAACTAATTTTTAAGATCAAATCAGAAAATGGTTTCTGACTTATATTAAAGTGCAAAATAGGTTAATTGTAGCGAACCAGCCGTGAGATACGGGTTTAAAATTGTAGTTCATTTTCACCTCATCCATCTGCTTTAAATTAATTTATTATATATGGACAAATGTTCCAAGCTTCAATTTTGATTAATGTAAATAAAATTTGTTCTTGTAGATAAGTCAAGAGAAAGAAAATAAAGAATTACTTGTATGGATCAAAGATATTGTCAACCATTACTGGCACACTGCAGAAGTTGCTACCACCAGTGAAGAGTTCCTCGTAAGTTTTCATTGTTTCATTTAAGGTACAACTTCTTGTCCACTTGTTTGACAAAGTGAACATTGGTAAGAGCAAGTTTGAAGTAAGTTATCATATTTGTTAATCAAGTTGATAAAACACATTGTCTGTAATTTATTCAGAATAAATGATGTCTGTAATATATTCAGAATAATGAAGTATTCAATTGTTACAGGCATGCTATGTTTATAAATCATAGGATAGAAACCGATAGAAAGAAAACTTTTATATGGACTTTGTTCATTGTTGAAGGCTGTACGGTGACCTATAGTTGTTCATTTCTGTGTCATTTTGGTCTCTTGTGGAGAGTTGTCTCATTGGCAATCATACCACATCTTCTTTTTTTATATTTGATGACTACTATTGTTCAAGTGTAATAAATACTTGTCACATTGCCAAATTGAACCACAACTTTTCATTTTAAATTCATCTTTTGATGACTATATTTATATATATATAATTTTTTAGGATGTTTGGTATGGTGTACTTCACCATGTTGTCAATGAACACCAGTGGTTTGTGCCATTTGCCAACTCTTCATTTACCAACGGTTGCCAGCATGGACCATTGGAAGATGGAACACAGTCAAAGGAGTATTTAAAGAAAGGGTCCCCACCACACAATGAGCTGAGAAAAATTGTTATGAACAAGCGCCTGGTTAACAACATACCATACTACCTAAACTGTCGGTACGTAAACTATCTTATATCATAACTTCCTCCACAATAGAAAACAACCAAGCCACTGTCACCTAATTTTGATAATCCTTTGATGTAGGTCAAGTGTTATATTTTTGATGGAAAGCTGATATAAATGTACGGATGCATTTTCTGTAATAGTTCTATATGACATTTTTTTGTTTTTACAGAGTATTGATAATTTTATTTGTAAATGTTCTGTCATAATGACAACATTGTCATATTGCCTTTTTTTGCATTTTAGGAGCACATCAGAGTTAGAAAACTTTCAGAATCTTATTCTAATGTATGCCTCCAAGAGACACTCTTACAGTCCACCAGTGTATCGAGCAAGGAACAGGTTGGCAGCTATAGACCATAATGCCCATGCAGAACGAGAAGTGATGAAGAACAGAGATGGTTCTTTAAGGTTTGTATGATTTGTCAACTATACAAAAAAAGGATAGCAGAAATTGCCTAAATTATTGGACGGTACCAGAGAAAACACCAGCCCCTCCAAAAAAAAAGACAAACAAAAGACAACTCATAGCCTGATTAGGTAGAGGCACTAAATGAGAGAAAGGGGGTGCAAATTAACTTATTTTTTAAATTTATTACTCAACAGAAACACCCCTCTCCCATTTTGCCTATCCCCACTATTGAATTTGATGGCAGAACCATTAGTCAGATCATAGTGACTATCATACCAAAAATCTATGTTTAAAAATCTGCAAACAACATTGCAATGTGGAAATTGATGGCAATATTAATTTCAAAAAATCACTTGCATGACATTGTACTCAAATTTGGCATATATTTGTAAACTGATGACCTGAAATATTTGAAGTTAGCCATGAATGTTACTGTTGCATTCAAGTGATAACTCAGTAGTATTAAAATTTTAATTTATGTATTTGTAGGTGGCAGAGAAGTTACAACAAGAAAACTTCCAGATGGTCTGTTCACCCTGTGAAGGAGGAAAAAAATTACGATTACATTCAAGACCTCATTAGACAAGTTCTCTGCACCAGAATAGAAGATGGCATAGGAATGAACCGACGTCTTGAGTTGGAGGAAGATGATCCACGGCGGATATCTGCACATTTGGCACCTGTACCACCCCCACCAACAAGAGACATTGTGGCTACCCAGATATCTAGATTTGAAAATCTAAATAAGACAATAGACTACTGGACTGCCGAGGGGCATTAAAGTTTTTTTTATCTTTAAATACTGTAAATTCAGAATTTATTTTGAGGGTTATTATTATTGCAAATGATGCGACTGGGTGAGTATTGCAATAATAACAACTCTCTTTCTGAAATCTGACACATATATGTGTTTGCTACTATTCCTGTACAAATAGCAATAATTAAAGTTCTTATCATCTTTAAATACTGTAATTTCAAAATTTATTTATCTCTCGTTCTGAAATCAGCTTTTCCTGTATAAATAGCAATAATTATTTTCACATTTTGGTCATGTTGAAATCTCAATAATAAATGTAATTTCTGAATTAACAATGTTCTAGTATTGTTTAAAGACACAATCATGTTTATATTTGTAGGTGGCAGTTATCTGCATATTTGGGACTGGTACTATCCAACAAGAAGAGACATTCATTGTGGCGACTACTGGACTGCTGAGGGGCAATAAAATATTATAACTTTGAAAAATCTTTTATCATTTTTTTTTATATTTGATTAGACTTCGTGTCTATTAAAAAAAAATTGAGCTTAAAACAAGATGAAGATGTTGTATGATTGCCATTGAGACAACTATCCACCAGAGTTCAAATGAAGTATAAATCATTTCAATATTCACTTTTATCACATATTTATATGTCATATGTTGAATGTAAAAAAATGGTTATGAGACAATGACATGAAGACACCACATCACCTAAGGTAACAAATAAAAACAGAAATTCCAGAATTATCATTTTAAGTTCTGACAACACATGGGAATACCCACTACGAACACTTCCTGACTTTAAAGCAAAAATAAAAACACGGTTTTTTTCACATTTAATTATACCTCCCCCCTACAAAACCTTTATATTGTCCAAATGGATTGGGATATTTATCCCTGATCCTCCACACACAGCAGCTTGGGATCACTCGACGATCTCCTGCCCCTAGTCTTCCAAGTACCCAGACAATATATTGCCTATAGGCTGCAAAGCGATTTGACCTATTGAAGTCCTCATCCTGAGGCATGATGAGTAACTCCTCCCGAAGCCTTCTTGCCACAGCAAGCACTGCCTCATCTAAGACTATCAAGGAGAAGTCCTGAAAAAAGAAATATTTATGCTAATTTTATTTCTTATCCACGTCATACATTACATAAACAGTTAATAATGATTTTGTATACTGAAGAAAGGTCACCACAGTTAATTAGAATATTTTAAAATGATTGGTTATTCTCTGATTACAATGAGAGAACAAGCCACTATTTACTTGTGTGATGATTTTAAAACCCATAAACGGGAAAGTACACTGTACAGAAAGAGGTCTAACACCTCTATTTTTGTAATAGAAAATAAATATTTTCTTTATATATTTTTGAAACAATATTTATGGACTAGAAGTAAAAAATGAACAAGAACATCAATATTTCCACATTAGTCAGTTCTGCAATATAATAACTTGTCATGAATTGGGTACGTACTGGTAACTGGGAGTAGCAGTTCAGACTTGTTCTGCCACAACACCGCCTCTCCGCCTCAGTTGGCATCTCCCTACAGTAGGTGCAGGTACACCAGTCAGGGACTGAACTGTTGGGCGAAGGATGATGCCCACCTTGTTGAGTGTCGTCTTTGTCCAGGACATCAAATACAAACCCAGGGTGTTGTGTGGCAATGGAACTCACAAGTCCCCTCAGGTCTTCCTCCGTCAAACGAGAAATTCTTTCCTGAAAAAGGTTAAGAAGTCATAAAGATTGTATTTTAAAAGTGGTCTAACAAATTGATATTTCGATAGAACCAAGCATGTATGTCAGCTATAAGTCTTGGTTGAACAAATCATTAGTCTCAAGTTCGTCATTATATTTTCTACCTGCAATGACCGTTTTTATAGGTCAATTTTAAGATACTTTGATAGCTGTGAAAAAAAAAGAAATTTTTTGAAAATATCTAACTAAACTGAACCATTAAGTAACAGACCAATGCTTGATGAATATTTCTTTAGGTAAACATATCCTAGAATGAAGTTTTGTATACCTGCAACTGGCGATTCCTCTCCTCTAAGGTAGCTGCAGCTACCTCTGCCCTGTTGGGTCCAACTCCTTGGTTGGCTCCTCTACCTCTTCTGGCGCCTCTTCCTCTTCTTGGTTCCCTTCCCCTTCCCCTCCTGGTGTTTCCACGTCCCCTTCCTCTACCCCTCGCCCTTCTTGCATTGCCAGGTGTAAATTCTTCACTCTCCGTACTTTCATGTCTCTCATCATGTTCATGTGGAGACCTAGACCTAGACCTTGGGCTATTTGAGTCCTGAAATGGTGCATATAAATAGAATAAGAAACTAAACAAACAAACAAGACTCGAGAAACAAGCCCGTGAAAATTCTGCTTCTTTGTTACCAAGTTGGTTAAAATAAAACCAGAAATTACCTCAAAATAGTTTTGTGGAAAAAACGTAATTTTATTTGAAATATAGCCTACTGTCGGAGTACTGCATAGTTGTACGATGTTGAAATATTTTTGAAATAATTAAAAGCTGCATGACTACAATAACCACAGTGTAACGTCTATTGTTCAATGATAAATATTCATTTCACAATACGTAAAAGTCTCAAAATGTTACTAGAAAATGTATTTAGAACATGTATGAGATTTATTGTGTTGTCCCCACTGGAGGCCTCTTTCGCACACGATTCCTGAAAACGTATCGTAACATACTAAATATCACAGTAAATGAAGATGAATCAGACTCTACCAGTAAATATAAAATTGAGAATGAATGAATGAGTTCAAAATATAAATAATGCAATTCATGGAATATATTTTAGCAGTAATAATTCAGATATTTTAATCGATATTCACATAGTACCTACCTCAGCATCCATGATTAGAATCTGGGTCAGCGTCTTTAAATACATTCGGCAGTTATCGGAAGCGTCACCGGAATCTGGGTCAGTGCATAATTAATAAGATTCCACTGGCATAACAACACCATCTTTTTTGACAAAAACGCCGATTTTACACAATATTACTACTTTTTTCGATTTGGAAACATTACTATACTCTTGTCTAAGTCAATACCACTCAGTTTTCAATGTTTAAAAAAATACGATTTTGATAGACAATATCCCTTTAACTATTTCATATTTTCTAGTTTCATGAATATTCATCCCTGAATGTATGTAATCATTTATTACATCACACTCATTTGTTTTTTCATTTTTTACTTGTGATAAAAATAAGCTTAAAAATATAATTATATACAAATATTTACAATTGCGAACCATGATTGTTTATTTTGATTATTTGGTATTACATAACTTTATTGTTTCTGGACTTAAGTTTTAGTCTTTTGTATAAGTCCAGCCTCTTTATGTTTAATTTCTGTCGGGGTTGTTGCATTTCTCTTGCCTGTGTTTTTTACTTTAGGTGTATCAGTATTTTCAGACACTTGTCCGTTAAAATACTGTTCTATGTTTCCTTCAGGCTTATCTGTCTTTTTGCTTTTGTTGTTTCTAGACCTTCTGTTTCTACTACGGTCACTTATAGGATCTGGTAGGTCTTTCACATTATCTTCATTTTTTTTTGCAGGTGATTTATTGCCTTGATTCTGATTTATGATGAATGACACCGTTGAGGTTAACGGCTGAAGTATCGATTGGGATTGAGGTGCTTCATTGTCTTCAGTATCTACATTATTGGCATCCGATTGTTCATTATTAGCGTCTTCGTGATTGCTACTTAAATCATCTGTACAATCTGCTTGCTTATGCCCTGTTTTTTTGCACTGTCTACAGACCCAGTCTTTAGGACACTGCATTAGTTTGTGGCCGGTCTGTAGGCATTTGTTGCAGACTAACTTTTGACTATCTGTATTTTGCCCTACGTGAAGCACAGTGGCAATATATTTGCCTATAAGCAGTGTTCTGGGCAAGGGTTTACTGACTTGGTCGCACAATATAATTCTGTCTCCAGTTTGACAATTTGTCAACATTCCGTCAACACGGAGACGTTCTCTGTAGGATTTATGAATGACACATCCATAATTCAAAGGTTCTTTCAATTTGTCCGTCATCAGCAGAACATGGTACATTTTTGACTCTAACTTTTAAGTAATTTGGGTTTTCATGTACAATGATTCTAGGGTTTCGTGTGTAAACATTCACCAATTTGTCTCGTATTACAAGCCCTGATGTTACCATGAATTCTCTCTCTGAATCGTTGTCGAGGTATATCCTCCACAGACCTTTGACTCGTTGTAGTCCTTTAATGTGACTTCCTGGACACACATTGGCATCGATTGTCTTATACAGTTCAATGTGTGTCAGGAACTGATCTTTATTGGGTCTTGTGTATCAAAAAGATCAGTTTCTTTTATAAATACTGGTTTGACTTCGGATAGTACGCTTTCTATTACAAATGTCTTTTGTGTCACCGACGAATATGTCTCACCTAGATTATTGTCTTCGGCCATCTTGTTTTTGCTGTTAACATCTGACATTATATTTTGTTTTTTTTCTGACATTTGCGACATTATTTTTGACAAAATTACTTCTCAATTATGATAACTAACCACCAATGAGTGCTAGACATCAAAACAGTCAATTATTTATTATCTAAACTACGATTTTCATCAATTTTTCGGAAGGAACCAGAAAAACCGCCTTGGCAATTAAAGGTCCCTTATGTCCTCCTAGTTAAAAGTATAACTTACTTTGTATACAGCAATATCGCAACAATATTTGTATCATTATGAGACTTGGAATTTTTTTTTTTCAAATGAGAACAGTATGCAGAAGTCACTGTTGAAAATGATTCTCGGATCAGATAGACACAGATGATAGTAAAAAAGTGCAGGTCGTTTGAATTCAAAAATGATTTAACACATTGGCATTTACAAAACATGCATCTGCTACTTACCACGAATCAAATGAAGTGAAACCAGGTCCGTCGACGGGGTAAATTCGTTATGCAAATACGTCAAATTCACAATGAAAAGCTTGCGTTAAAATTAGGAACGTCGTGTCTTAATCGGTAATAAATCATAAAAGAAAATAAAGGATAAAATGATTTTTTTAATCAGCGACAACGTTAACATAACTTGTATAATAGTAAAACTGTTGTTTGCAGTCGTTATTCCTACGATTTCTTTTTGAAAGGGTTAAAATTAGGAAACGACCATTTTTTTCGGGAGGGGAGTAATTAAATAGTCTGATCCTAAATGCCTGTAAATAATGATTCGTGTTTAAAGGGTAAGGAAACTAAATAGTTTGTTTTTATAGAAAATTAGAAACCCCAAAAAAATAAATACAACATTGAGTTTACAAAAAAAATCTTGTTCCTGTATGTTATTTAAAATGTATAAATCTGTATTTAATTTTTTATTCGAATTAATTCGTTCGGGGAAATCTCGGTACAGGCCATGTTCTACCGCTATATTATATCAACTAACAAGTACATCGTTTATAAAAGCATATGTTAAGGTAAAAAAATACGTTCATATAAAGATTATCATGACTTTTGCTAACTGTTGTACAAATATACAAAGGTATACACATAAGTTTTACTTTGTTGTATAGTTTACAAATAAAATCGCCTGGTATTCACTATCCATATTGCGCGAACGGTAATGTTTAAAATACTGTTTAGGTCTCAGTTATTTTGAGTTCTCTTCACATTCCGCTTTTCAGCCTGTCATATTTGAGTATCTAAGCCATATCGATGTCTATAAAAATCAAAGACAACGGTTGGAAATTAGAAACTAAACGTTTAAAGCGACAAAATTAAATTGCAGGGTAAATAATATTCGTTCCAAATAAATTGTTATCGGAAAATATAAAATGTATTCGTAGTCATCACGAGACAGGAGAAAAGCTTAATTTTTTTCTCTTTTATCAGATATGGTAGATAAATATTTACAATTGACAATTGAGAGTCTAGAGTCTAGAGTTGAGACATTTAGATTAGGGGTCATCTCAAAAGAATTGATTTGAATATTGCTTTTCTCGGCACGCCAATGGTTTTTCTAACATTGCTTCCAATAGATATAAAAAAATTGGATTGTAGGTCTTTCTACCTTTTCTGACATGATTATTGGTTGGTTGTTTGGTTGTTCAACAAATTGGTTGTATAACATCAAGTGACATATTTTTTTTTGATAGGTAGGTTTATTGAAATTTGGCTTCTGTCAAATTTGACGAATTTCACATTGATTAATCGAATGATTTGCTTAGTTTTTTTGCTTGATTAAATGATTTATTGATTGACAGTTTCAGAACGTATTTCATATTAATCAACTCATTGATTGACTGTTACTGTGACAAATATTTAATGCAATTTCTTTACCCATTGAATGATAAATCCACCGTCTTACCAATTAAGAGGGAGACCGGGGACCAGTTTCTCGATGGAAAAATACACGGGTGAGCTTCCTAGGAATAAACGGAGCACAAAGGTAGGCTCTAGACCCTCTTAAATTACACGAATTCGGATCAGTGCAACATGCTTGTTTCAGTCAGTTTTTGGCGGGGTTTGTGTTGCTCAGCCTTTAGTTTTCATTGTTGTGTTTTTTTGTACTTTTGCTTGTCTGTTTGTCTTTTTATTTTTTCGCCATCGCGTTGTCAATTTATTTTCGACTCATGAGTTTGAATGTCCCTCTGGTATCTTTCGCCTCTCTTGTATTTAAATTATGATATTTCTAGGAACATGCAGGATTAAACACCTCTCTACTTTTCTTCTTCCAAAAAATATCCCTTTAATTTTTTTTAAAAACTCCACGAGAACATGCATGCAAGGATTGACAACCCCTAGAAAATATCATTGAATCTCCCTTTATGAATATCCTTTTTTTTCGGGATCCTCGGAATGTATGTTACATTTATTTGTTGTGTATGCATTTTGTGTTCGTTGTAATCAAGTCAGACCATGATCATAACTGTTTTTTTGTTTTTGTTTTGTGTTACATTTCTATGTGAATCTGAAAATGCTCTGGTATTTTCGTTTTCGCTTTTACAAAGAATCCCCGTTCTGTCTCATTCTGTAGGAGGGAAGGGGCATTTTATCTGTTTTTTTCTGAGTACATTATGTTTGCTAGAAATTCGTTACTGGATGTCAAACAACAATTAATCAATGACTTAGTCAATATGATTCAATAATATGTGTCTCTTAATGTTATACACACTGTCAATCAATCAATGATTAAAATATTACATTGGTTAATCAACCAATCAACCAATCAAACAATCAATCAATACACCAGTCGAAAAAACAATCAATCAATCAATCAATGAACCAACAAATATTGTTGACTTAGAAAATACAGAATAACTTTCATTTAAAAATGTTTGCTAAAACAGTTATTTGCTAAAACAATTATGTTATATCTATTATGTTTTGAAAGCTTTTAATGTACCATGAAATTCATACCTTTGAGATGGTCCCTTATTTGAAGGTATCAACTCTAGACTCTCTATTCTCAATTGTCAATTGTAATCATTAACTTAACATGTCTATTCCTATGTCTAAAGCTCGTAAAATACATGTTTTATTTTTTGCAACATTATTTACTTATATGTATATATTTAAATATACATCAATCTTAGACTTTAATATAATTATTATTTCTTACATGCTTTTCTAAGAAGAAAAGTTTTCATTTTTCTTGTTCCACTTGTCCAATATTGATGAATTGAATTTCTATTTGTAACACATAAATTGTCCGAATGCCACTTTATAAAAGAGCCTTGTCTTTCACATTCATCAGCTGCATCTTTGTATTTTGGATATGTATAGTTAAGTTCCGCATCATTATCTGTAATAAACATCACAAAATAATTAAAAATTGATTGATTGATTGGTGTTTAACGCCACGTTCAGCACAATTGGCTATTTCGTTGCGGTATGTTTTTTATTGGTCAAGGATGCCGGATTGCCCGGAGAGAACCACCGACCTTCGACAGGAAAACTGAACATCCAAGTCAATTGATTGTAGTCGAATGCATCTGCCATGTGCGGGGTTCAAACTCACAACCTCAGTGTTGACTGGCTAGTGATACAGCAGTTGGACTACTTAAACCACTCGGCCACCGAGGCTCGTAATTTAAAACGGAGAAGTCGCATTGAATTTAAATCAGAGAAGATGTAAGTATACGTTGATGTGACGATAACTTAACGATATGCAGAACTAAAGCAAAAGGCATCTAGAGGTCACATATGATCTAAACACTAAACCAACTCAAAATAACACTGAGTCTTTGGTACTAATGAATTCATTTGACAGATACAATTGGGAGTTGTTCATCAATAACACTTTCTCTACAGGACCAAAACTACAACAAAGATATAAAATAGGCATCGTCTGAAAAGTGCAGTGACTTGCGAAAGTTCCATCTAGATATTGATGGGTTAATTTAGTTTTGTTACCACTCATTTGTCCCCATTTTCATACCAAGCAGTCTCTATGGAGCACTTCAAGGCGAAATGTTCATTGAATAATGTAAAGTTTGGTTTTACATTTCTGATGTCACTATTTAATGCCCCGGTTCTAATAATACCAAAGTAAATCTACGCCAATTATTTATTACAGTTATTGCATCATAAAAATGATAAATATATTTTCATCACACAATTTCCAGTTTGACAAAAAGAATGAGATGAAATATAGTCTTACTTTTTATATATTAATATCATTTCTGTTAAACATGTTAAACCGTCGCTTTACTTCACGTTTCGTGAAAAAAAAAAACAAGAATGCAGAAAAGTTCTTATTACCACAGGTAACATCATAGTTTTTATTGCATTTTTCATAACTACGTTTGAGATGGTTTTCAGCAAGACATTCACTTGCAGCGATACATTTGTTGTTTTTGTCAGCGTCAGCAGTACCGTAGTCGGGAAGTAGATCTGTAAGAAGACACACAAAGAAACTGACTCATTATTAATTGATTATTAACAGTTTATTTCGAAGGACCAGTATGGACATGTTGTTGTTAAAATTCACCATTTCCAAATTGATATTTGTCACTTCCAAGTCGACATCTGTTACTTCCAATTTGACATTTCTCCATTCCAATTGGAAGTTAGAAATGTCAACTTTGAAGTGAGAAATGTCATGGATGAAATTAAAATTGTTTAAAAGAGAATGTCCTTACCGGTCTTAAATTTAACCATAAAGCTACATCATGTTAACATTAATTGAAACCTGATAATGAAGCTAATGCAATATCAAGTAAACAACTGCGATAATCTCGCGAATATCACCTTCTACGCATGCAATTGTAAAGTTATTCAAGACCAATATTTTTCTCAAATTTCGTTTCGTTTTTTAATGGTCATGTTCGTGAATATCATACATGTCATAAGCAAGATTAGTGTGGATCTAAAAGATTTATTAACTATTTCCCAAAAGTTACACAAACAGCCACGTATGATAGATTTTGTGGGCAAGAATGACTATTTGTATTTACTCCATACGAAACACTGTGAGCAATAAATAAACTGTAATATGATTCATCTACAAAACATATGATCTTCTATGTTTCTTTGATCCTAAACGGGTATCTACTTATTATAATCTTATATTAGCTTCAACTACTACATGTAGCAAAATCTATGCAATGATCTGTTTCTGTTAATCAAATTTAGTGAACATAAGTAACAAACATTCAGCTAGTTGAGTTTACATGTACTCACGTTCCCAAACTTTGTAGCAGCCGACACAATTACAGTTCTTTCGTCTAACGAATGAATCTATATCTCCAATACAATAACAATCTGTTCCCTTTGATAGAAAAAAAATCACATTTTCGTTGTGTTATAAATAAAAAGAGAATTAGATATACGCGGCAATTAAAAACCAAAGGTCGAAGGAAACCAAACATATATAAATTGATGAAAAGAAAAGAATACGGGCACTTAACAAATAGAAGTAAAGGGAAAGTGTTTTATTGCATTGTATTCAGTTCACACAGCAAGATGTTCATATAGATTGAACAACTAAGGTACAACCTAACTGAAATGTTCTAGACAATCCCTGGTACTTCTATACGCGTAATTCTTTGATAGGCACAGAAAATACTACATCACACACTAGATCAGTAAACAACTACCATAAGAAACACATTACCTTGCGAAAAATAAATTATAATTATATATTTTTATAATTTTATTATTGCGCAAAAAACGCTGACTGAGCACATTTTGAATGAAGCACAGAAGCACTTAATACTAAATATGTGCGCACGATTAATGCTTTATTAACCCTATTAAATTTCAAAAAGAAAGTATTTAATTCTTATAGTTACGTGTGAATGTTAAAACCATGATATGAGTAAAATCAAGCTTTTCCTTTGAGGTTGTAAGCATTATTACAACTTTGTCACGGAGTGCACATACAGTTATTTTGTTGCATTTTATTGGGAAATAGAATATATTGAAAAAATGTCATGTGATTGATGTCTGCGAATCAAAATTATGAAATCTTAAGTCACCATACGGCCTTAAACAATGTGCAAAATTCATACTGTATAGTCTGCGATAATAGGTCCGACTTGACAAACTGAGAAACAATTCAAATGAGAAAAAACGGCTTGATTTAAGACAAAACGAAAAAACCTATAGGACAGAGATCCACCACCGACAACTTCTGAAGCACAGGTTCCTGACTAGGGACAGGCACATACAGAGTGTGACGGGGTGAAACATGTTATCAAGCGACAAACACGTCTTCAACCTGGGACAGTGGTGTAAATGTACAACTTACAAACAAACTATAAAAATCCGTTTGAAAATGGTTGATTTATCTGATTGCCGCCAGAAAAAAAACCAAAACAATAAAAAATACTAGCATGATGACAAAAGACACAAAGTATGGATCTAAAAGTTTTCGCAGTTACTAAAACTAGTTCAAATCTAATTTCAACTAATACATAATGCATGTTCGCCAAGACTAATGTAGCAAACGTTACATACACTCATATATAGTATAAAGACGTAATAAACAGTCTGAGAAAAAGGAACGACTTGGTGAAATGCAAACATATAAATACATACTAGTATCGACAGAATGTAGAACAAAACAAAATTTTGTATAGCAATATAAATCTAGTTATGCAAACTTATCAAATTCACAATCAATAGTGAGTACAGAAAAAAAAACAGTATTCAAACATCACGGTGTAAAATTGATAACCTTTAACAATAATGTTATTAAAAGAATCAATTATATAGATCGTATATAAATTTACGAACTCTGTAAACAGTAACACAGTAATATAGGATGTGATATTCTGTTTGTAATAAGAATACAATAGGTATAACCAAACTTCCAAACCAAACTTTTGTATCAGTGATCAAATTTGGTAAAAGTTTTAAATAATTTGTAGTAACGGAATCCCTGACATAATTATTTACCAGTGATATATAGATTATGTTCTTTGAAATGTAAAACGTCACAACAGACACAGGTAAAATATGAACACATAAATACGTTACCTTGAGACTATAAAATGTGTATTTATCGCATACCAGTTGGCATTGTAGCTCCGCAGCATTGGAATGTTCAATTACAAAGTGTTCGAAGACTCCGTTAAGTAAAAAACATCCTGCAAAAGTAAAGCCTCTACATAAAGACATTATAATACAATATTTAGTTTATTTTATCATGTCTCCTATTTGTAAATATACTTGTATAAGTTCAGGGTTTATCACATACATTGTTAACATATTATGTTGAGCCTGGTTAAGACTACGTATAATTTTTGATGACTTATTATTTTTGAAATTATGCAAGTTTTAGATTAAACGCTTTTGATTTTGTGAAGAAAATTTAAAAACAAGTTTTTTTCTATTAAATGTTTCACTAATTGTTTTAAATTCTAGTTATAGTTTATTTGGTTTAATACAACATTATTGGACATACAGAACTTTTCAATCTGTTAGAAAAAAATTAATTTGACCTAAAATTCTCGTGGAAACAACCCTAACAAATGAACAACCATGGATGTCCAACTTATGAGAAGACCCAACATGTATCAATATTTTAAAGTAATGTTCCATTTCTGCAAATATTCATATGATATTGTTTATCATTATATTGTTTGAAAAATTATAGCTTGCAGATAACAATGCGACACTGAACTTACGTTTTGTTTGTTATGTGAGAATCAAGTACTTTTTCTGTACTTATTTGGATTCTTTTATACACACTTTTCAATTCGACCGATTTCAATTAAAAAAAAAATGAGAGTTCAGATCTAAACAAAAATGATTACACCCGCAACATATTTATTTTACTGTCAAATGTTATATCTTAATATATGTTTGCTAACTAAAGATTTTGGTGTTGATTGCCAGTCTTTGATAGTTTTTGCATACATTATTCATTACTTTTTTTGAGACTATTGACTACTATGGACTATGTTATCTGTATATTGTATATAGACAATAATAGTGTATTGACTTGACATATCAACGATAAAAGGATGAGGCTTAGAAACGGGGAAATGCGAGGCTCTATTACACTATTATTGTTTTTATACTGCAATCTAGAAAAAAACCTTTCAATTGTTGTTTATTGTGTTATTGTCATTTATTTGATTTAAATATTGGGAAAAATCCCCCTTTAAAAAGGCCTCATATCTGGCGGAGAAATATACAACACAATGAAATGGACATTACCTGTTGAAACAAATCGATGGTGAATGAATTCGTTTGAGTTTGGACTAAAATATCAACAATAAGCATAAAACATAATGATTTATAGGTTTTATACAAGAAATATTATCAAGTGAAATATGTTTTTCCAACAATTGTAAAAGAAATAAGTTTGAGTCGTTCCACTCTTCGTTGTATACATTGGAAACAAGGACAGGTTGAGGAGGTCATCATGAATAATTAAATATAGTTCCGGCTGTACTATTTAAATATTCATGAGGAAAAGTGTTATCGGGTCAGTGACTGTATATGACATAGAAATATACAGTCAACGCATATTGACTGCTCAAATAGAACGAGTGCAGTATAACAACTTATATTGAGTACGTTTTTGTACCCACTGTGGCATTTGCAGTGTCTTGTTGCGTATAACAAACATATCAATTTAGTCATATTATATTAAAATACAAACCTCGAATATATGTCCAATTCGTTAATAATCTATATTTCCCGAACCACACGTCGTCGATATTGTTTTTGCCATCTTTTGTTAGGTCAGTAATTTCCTCCTTCAATAAGGTGATGTTACTTTCTAGTACTCCACCATTACGTGAACAGAAATTAACAGCATCTTTCCATGATTTGTTTATGTTGTAAAAAGTTACATTTTGCGTGTTCAACTCTGTTAAACATCAAACAAAAGATAATTAAGAGATGACAATTCCAAAAGAACGAAGCAAACATTTACTTAATTTTCGTAATATGCAAATTCTAAAAATTTACCGACACGGTCATTAGGTTGTTGATCCTTAAAAGTGATATTTGGTCGTTCAAAACAGTGTTAGAGCTCGTTTGAAAAAATTACACGGTCGCTGTTCTCGGTCATTAACAATAGCAACGTAAGGTGAATTATTAACTAAAAAGAGAAGATAAGATCGTAAACACGATTTATAAGTTTAGTAAAAACTGTTTAACGGACAGCAGAAAATACTAGGCACATATTCTGAATAGACACTCGAAGTCGGATTTTTTGCATACTATTTCATAAGATAACAGTCAAGTGGAAGACATGCCAGCCTACCCGAACACAATTTTCTGACTCAGACGTAACCAACTGTCTGCTCTTACACCAAATGCCGGGTGCTTTGCAAAAAAGCAGCAAACACAGATTTTGAAATGATCACGAATTTTGGTTTTACATAGATTGTATTCTAGTCCATGACCTCTCGAACTCAATGCAGGCAGGCTTTCGCCATTCACCACAAACTGCTATAATACTTAGACCGCTGGTGGAATCTCGGAAGGGAATACATATACTCTCCTCCGACTGTATATATATTTTCATTTATATTCGCGCGACAAATCAATATGTTATATCCGGTATGGGCTTGAAATAACCTTTTTATCAACGCATAGCTTTACTTTGTGTTTAATATCGATAAAAATGGAAATTCAATCCTGATTCCTTCGATTATGCGTATCACTATTGGCCGTTAACAGTATTTTGGTGTTCTACATAATTATATAATATATTTATCTTCTGTAATTTGTGTAGTATTAGAATATATGTATTTGAACAAGAATTTAAAGCTACAAAAAGACACAGTCTCCCTTTTTTTCCAAGATTTAAATTTTAAATTTTAATATTGTTTACAACATAGTTGCGTTTCAAAGGTTGTCACAGAAATCAGAACCATCTCCTTATTAGGACATTTCATTAAGTGGATAGTTAATAAAAAGAAAGGTGTATAATCTGAATTGTATATAAGAAAAGTTTTGATAACGTTTTAAGTGTGACTTTGATTTAAAGACTAGATTATATCCTTTGATACATTGTACAGGAACTACACATCGTTTCGTAGTGATTAACAAATAATTTCTATTTTTATATCCTTCAATAACGTAAATGTTTTGTTCAATGTGAGGTGAATTTATGACGAAGTCTTGAATGTTTACAGGATTGATAGTTTTATTTTAGGTCTATTATATCCTGACACTGTTATGACATGTACTTCTAATAATATGCAATGCATTACTATTATTGGTACAATAAAACAATCATGATGTCGATACATGTACCTCAACCTTTGACATAAAATTGTAATGTAAGCTATCAACCCCACCCAATCCCTACGAAAAAATGCACCCCCAAATAAAAAAAAAAAAACAAAAAAAAACAAAAACAAAAACAAAAACAAAACAAACATTAATGAAAAAAAAACCAAACAAACCATTATCTTAAAAAGGAAACAAATAACAACCCCATAAAAACGATCAACAAAACACAAAATAGACCCTAATAAAGAAACAAACAAACAACAAGACAAATAAAACAATAAACAAAATGAAAAGGCTTTCAGGTCAAGAAAAGTCATTGAGTTTGTGTTTCACTTAAATTTTTATCTTTCACCAGTAATACCAATATTGTTTTGTATGAGAAAGTTGTAAAAAATATATGTGCGACGATCTATTAATGTTAATGATAAGTTGACATGTTATCAGATTTGGGTTGAAATAATATTAAAAATGGTAATGGTAATAATTATTTTTAAAAATCATGACACTTCTTACCTTCACAGTTCCACAAAGTAAGAAAAACTAAAACGGGAATTTGAGGTTTCTCCATATTTACATGCTACAATAATAAGGATGACTTTAAATCAACGAGGAAGATTTTGATATTAAATATTCACCTATGTGAATTTAAAATTACATGTGTAGGTGAACACACTCTGACAAATTCTTTGTATCGATGTTTTCATTTTATAAGATTGTACGTTATATTTTGTTCACCTGTGCTATAAATAACTTACTGTATGTAATTGTACAGAACAATCATTTTTATACAATTTTAAGGTTACTTGTTCTTTGCTATACAACGTACATTCGTTATGAATTGTTTGTGGTGATAAAATCTCAACCTTCACTACAGAGGCTGAAATAGATGTTTTGCTACGTTTGACAAATTCGTTTTTAGTATGTTCAAATGAATGTGTTTTTCGAGATCATGATTACGTCCACCTATCTTTTGTAGGTAACTAATAATTGCTTTGAAAATGGTTGTTAGGGACTGATTTTCTAACTTGTACAAAACATTGTTCATATAAGCTTTTATCTGAATTGAATAATACTCTGGCAAGATTTGTACACATGAGAGTGCTTACAAGACCAGACGGACGGATGGACACAAGGTATTTCTCTGTCCCCCAAAAACGCGTCGCGTGAGGGACAAAAAGAGGCATAAGACCCAAATGATATTCAAAGCTCATATTTCGAAAAGGAACTGATACTGCCATCGCAAAAAGACCAAAAACATTTCTCTTAAACAGTTTCGAAATATGAGTAAAGTTACTAGTGCGTACATGACTTGTAATAGATGACAGCCTTTTTGCTTCAACTACCCTTTTACAGACATTTTTGACTTAAAATATCGCTATCGAACTTTTTGTCAACCATAGGATATACTGCCACATTTTTGGTCACTTGCATTTGGGAATCATACCTCCTCCTTCACTCGCATTTAAATAGTATTTAGATTTCTGAAATATAATGCACGGTACTTTAGTCTGTGTGAACTTTAGGCAATATCTATATAATGTTGTTGATCTTGTATGTTTTTGTGTTACTGTCTGTGGTATATATGTGTATTGTTTAGGGCTTATAATGTTTGACTTATTCCTGTCACGTTTATTACAGCGTACAGTTAAGATCTCTGCTAATACCAGTACAGGCTATACAGTATTGACTAACGATTTGTTTTATTATCAGATTTAATAAATAGATGTCTAATTAAGCAAAAGTATTAACAGTATTGGTATCAATTGTCATAGAGTATAGTTCAGTATATGAAAAAAATGCAATACGTTTTTCAACTATGTCATGTATATTGTAATTGTTTGGTACTTTAAACTAGGCAAACAATTTCAACTTTTGGGCGGAATGTTATTAAATTCCCATTTTGGACTTCCAGTTACCGTGTCGACGCTACTGAATTTGACGCATAAGTATATTATGTCCAGAAATGTTGTACATGTATTAACGGTCCTATATTCCTTCTTGTAGTTATTGTCTGCAAATTGCTTGGCTGGTAAGCTGAAGTAAAGAAATAATTTGCTCAATGAATCTTGATTTTACTGAAAGTTAACAGGTCAGGTACCATTATATATAGTATAGTTTATACTTCAGAAAAATCTTTGATTCTTTTATCCTTTCCAAAATCCATATTTGAACTTGCCATTTTTCGTTGGAATCTGAAATTGTATTCGCAGAATTGTTTGAACTATAGTAATTTTCTGACTCCGGAATACGTTTTAGTTTAAACAATTGCAATGAGTAGAATTGACAGCGGGAACACTATTCAGTTTTTCATATTGTGGACTAAAATCTCCATTATCAATTGCATGGTATGCCATAGCCTGAGATGATTCGTGGTTGAAATTCAATTCAACTTCAGAAGAATCCGTAATTGCATTTTGTTTTTTCTGCTTTACTCGTTATTTTTGTTTATGAAATTTGCCATCAGTTTCGGCGGAATCTGAAATTGAAAGTGCGGAACTGTTTGTGTTAATGTACACATTTTCTGACTCTGGAGTACGGTTTAGATTTAAACAATCGTATGGTGTAGAATTGACTGCTGGATATCTATTCAATATTTCATATTGTGGACTGTTATTGCCACCATCAATTTCATGATATACTGCAGCCTGAGATGTTTCATTGTCAACATGTAACTCTACCAAGTCTTGTACAGGACACGAATTTTGTGATTCGTGAATGGTTGGTTTCTCTTTTGACAGTCTGAAACGAATTGTTGACTGATTAGCTGTATCTAAACAAATATAAAGATTACATTATAATTTTAGATAGTAAGTTTTCAAAGTCGTTTAAATAATAGACGACCAAAGTGGTGAGATAATGAGTACGAATGATTGATTGATGTTTGCAAAACGTCCAGTGGCAAATATTTAATGCATAGACAAACGAACATCATACTTTGGAAAATGTTTTACGAACGATGGGAAGAAATATATCCAATCAATTCTAGGGGTGTCATGATATAAACGTAAAATAAAGGCAACAGTAGTATACCGCTGTTCAATAGTCATAAATCGATTAAGCGAAAACAAATACGGGTTACAAACTAAACCGATGGAAACACATCAACTATAAGAGGAAAACAACGGAACAACAGAAACACTGAACTGCAACAAAAACAAACGCCAACATACATAGATAACGACTGCCATATTTCTGACTTTGAACAGGACATTTTCAGAAAACAATGGTGGGTTGAAAATGGTTTTATTGCTAACCAAACCTCCCGCTTATATGGCAATGTTAGAAATACCGCTAAAATGACAACATATCGTGTAAATACTGCACGTATAATGCATTTGTAAGGGTTATCATATTATCGAATACTCAACATATCATTCAATTCATATTACTTTCATTATATTGTGTGCTATTGAGTTATTAAAATTTTAGTTTGACGGGTTCAGTATGGCCATTACAGAATGTATAGAGGCAAACAATTATACGACACACTACGCTTTCATTTGATTAACTTTCATTGAAACTTATCGTAAAAGATATGATTTTACCTTCGACGAAGAATCAAAAGAACTAAAATCGCAACAATGAGGACAATAATTGATGTAACAGTTCCTGCTGCTATGCCTGCAAAATATGATATGAATATATAAAACCTAATATAAAAATTCTAAGTTACTTTTTTTTGAAATATTTGATTTATCCTCTATTTTGTACTATATGACAACGGAAAGCAACAATAACGCTATTAGTATTAATACATATTTTTTTTGTAGTATTATTTTTTAAATTTTGTTTTAGAAACATCCTCTCCACACCACTTTTTCAAGTATATAAAATAAATATAATAGATAACAGGAATTGCTAAAACTATTTGACAGTTCACCAAACTACACCATAAAGGAGCACCCCATTCTCCAGGTTTTAGAGTAAAAAAAGGACGAAAGATACCAGAGGGACAGTCAAACTCATAGATCGAAAACAAACTGACAATGCCATGGCCAAAAATAAAAAGACAAACAGACAAATAATAGTACAGATGACACAACATAGAAAACTAAAGACTAAGCAACACGAACCTCACCAAAAACTAGGGGTGATCTCAGGTGCTCCGGAAGTAAGCGTTTTACACCTTAACAGAGAAAGAAACTTTTCACTTTGGAAATTAGTAAATGTGTAGCGGTTATTTAATTATTCTATTTGATTGAAATTTATTGAGTACATGATTCAAAAGACTTACTTATGAAGGTTATAATTAATCTTCTGTGTTTATTCTCTTTTCATTTAAAATGTCAACTTGGAAGTGAGAAATGTCAATATGGGATCACAAATGTCCACTTGGAAGTGGGAAGATTTAAAATTAGAATATTCCGGCCATTTTTCAGTTGTTAAAGGTATCAAACTTACTTCCCGAATTGTCAGACTGAACATTTTTTTGTTCTGCAATCGAAAGCTTCGGAATCGAAATCAAATCACCTTTATCGTCATCTGTCCCTATAATGCATTTCAAGATATATAATATTGCAAGGCCATACATTTTTGTTACCAAAATATTGTAAATTAAGCAAATAATTAAATGTTTGTTGGTATTTTCTATTCTATTTATTTGGAATATTGTCGAATGTAAATATGAGTTTATTTACAACCACTGGGTCGATGCCACTGCTGGTGGAGTTTTTATTTCCCCGAGGGTATCACCATTCCAGTAGTCAGCACTTCTGAGTTGACATGAATTATCATTGATATTGTCATAATTATAAATTAACTGTTTACAAAACTTTGAATTTTTGAAATACTAAGGCTTTTTTACCTCAGAAATAGATAACCTTAGCTGTATTTGGCAAAACTTTTAGGAATTTTTGGTCCTCAATGCTCTTCAACTTGGTACTTTTGTTGGCCTTTTTAACTTTGTTTGATTCGAGCGTCACTGATGAGTCTTTTGTAGACGAAACGCGCGTCTGGCGCAAATACAAAATTTCATCCTGGTATCTATGATGAGTTTATCTACCCATAATCTTTTACTCTGAAACATACATATTTACCGTGAAGATGATCTAACACTTCTAGATAGAGGGTTGCTGCTAGCAAGAAGTATTTTGAACTAATTGTGTCATAAGGAAAAACTAACGTCATCCTTTGAAAGACACCAACATGATTTGGGTTTACTGTATTAAATATCAGTGTCCTACAAAACCAGAATCCCGACCCCACTTTTCCATAGTGTTGATAAACTGCGAATTTGACTTATTACCGATTTTTTTATCATGAGCAATTCGATGGATGTAACTAGTGGTGCTGAAACTGACTGACATTTTTAGCTTAATTTGGCTACATCTTTCAGCGTTATATTTTAATAGCTTGCTCGTTTTGTTTGTGTGTTGTTATTGTCTGTTTTTCCCCGACTTATGAATTTGATAGCTCTCTTGATATCTTTTATATTTCGTATGTTTTATAATCAGACCAATCAATGATTCCATGTTTGTTATCTTTATATTATTCTTTAAAATGTTTTACTTACCGAATCTACAGAAAAAGAATCGTTCTTCATTACAATTATTCTTCTTTTCTCTTCCGTCATAGCTCAAAATAAAACATGTATCAGGTTGTAGGTTTTCTGTCAAGTCTGTA